AGGAACAGCACAATCACAGGTTAAAGCATTTGTTTTTACAAAAGGAGTGGGGTGGGGGGTGGGGTTTTAGGGGTAATACCACGGCTCCATCTAGACTATGGGGGAGGGCTTGCTGTCCTCTGCTGCTGGCATTACACGGGGGATACTTTAGTAAGGGGGCGGTTACACACGGCTGGCCGGTTATTAACGGGGGGGGGGGGGAGTGAGACTCGAATCTCAGAGTACCTGTCTTGGACCCAAACCTGGACTTTCTCTTCAGCCCTCCTCCACAACTGCCTGCACCCACAGGAAATAGGTGTGAAGAAAGCCGAAGAACGGCCTCCGAGAGAAAGGGAAGCAGGCAAACTCAGTTTCCTTCCACCTCCTCTGGACTGTCCCCCTCCCCTCGGCCCCTAAGGGCACTCAGAAGGCCTTCCTCACAAATGCTGTGGAGAGACTGGGAGGAGGCCATGTCTGGCCTGGCAGCTCTGAGCCGGTATAGAGGAAAACGTGATTTTCCATACAATACCAAGCAAGGTTGTTTTGGAAATGAAAAAAATGGAAAACAAGACCATGCCCCCATGGGTCAGGAGCGCTGAGGTGCCGGAGTGCACTGGGATTGTGGTAAGGGCAATATTCCCACAGCCCGGTTCCACAACGCAGCACCAGGTCCCTGGAGGTTAAGGGACTGTAACCAACCTCTCCTCCCAAACAGGCGCCTTTCCTTGGATCCCCCAGTTCTGTTGGGCTTGTTCGAGATTATTCTGCCACCTTTCCCCAGGACGCGAGGCTCAGCTCATTTGTCCTTCCACTCTCTACCCCTTCTGCAAATACTCAGCACACTCCTCAGCAGGTGACGCATTCTCACTCTGCAGAACGGCCACTGAGGAACCAGTGATCACCGGGAAGGCTAAGCTGTCTGCTTTTCTGTGTGGTCCTGATGGAAGGGGACAAAAGCAGACTTCTGGTGGGGTCAGAACAATCTGGTTTGGGTGTGTGGGTCCTTGGCTCTCTGTCTCAGTTCTGGAGCCTTGGTCATTTAAGCTTCAGATGAAACATATATAAGCATGAGTGGGGAGGGACAAACACTTTGTCCTTCAGAAAAAGTTAAACTCAACACATCTTGGCTACTTTGCCTCCATCCAAAGGGTTCCTTGGAAATACCTGTTGAACGTGGCCAAAGGGAGACTGCACCTGGATCTGGACCTAGATGGCACACTTCCAACGAAACGGGAGCAAGAGTGGAGTGGAGGTGAGCATGGTTAGGAAAACCCTCAAATAAGCCTTATGCTGCTTGAGCTCATACTCTGCGGCTCAGAGAATAGGGCTGAGGCCTCACTGCTTCCTCAAAGCCCATCCCCTGCCGGGGCCAATGGGCAGGATGTGAGAAAGGTCCCTGAACTAAAGACTGGGCTCTTTACACAGAAGCAAGTATAAAGATGCTACTAACAGGTGGCCAGAGATGCCTGCTTTTCTGTGACAACATCCTTAGATGCTACTACCTCCTTAAACACATGGCAAACTGGTAGTTATCTTTCTTAAGACAGATGCACTGACATTTTACTTATTCTAACCACCAACTTTTTGTTCAATTATAAACCAGTCTGAATGTTTTCAGACTATGAAACAATAAAAGCAGACTTGATGTATAAAACTGCACCCCACACTGTGTCTCTTTTTACAACAGAGTGGACCCAGTTTTTCTAACTATGAAATGCAACACTATGCGGCTGCTGGGCCCTGAATAGCCTTGTGCATCTGTGCCTGGGCAGCACACCTGTGTCCATGCACAGGTGAGGGACAGGAGCAGGTTCTCAGAGGCTGACAGAGCAGCAGAGGATCTGGCTAACGGAGGTTTTGGAGAAAGTCCCTTTGGGTTCTGAGTCACGTGGGAGGAGGCCAAGGGGCAAGTCTGTGTCCATGCACGTGGCTGAGACACCTGCCGCTCCCTTCCACATCCTTGTCATCCTTGGCAGGAGCACGAGCTGCCTGCTGGCCAAGAGAAGGCCCTCAATGTCCTCGCTGCCCTTCAGAGCTCTGGAAGCTCCCCAAGACCCTAACATCAGCCAGGCCCCCGTGGTGACCCTAGGTGGAGCAGGCCTACCTGTTCTGGTTCTGGGCATCTCCATAGTCAGCCTGTACCTTCCCTGGCATAAGTCATATCTGTTATGCAAGACCAAGCCTTAACCCTGAAACGCTGTTTTCTACCCAATGGGACAGAAATGAGGTGCAAGAGGCTACATGCATCTACTGCTGCTCTAATTAGCACAAGGGTGTTTGAAGGCCGGGCTCATGTCAGTATCACTTCCCACATGAACCTACAGTCAACCTCACTGGATAAATGACTTCCTAAAGGTGGGCCACTTACCCCACTCTAAAGTCGAGAGAGTCCGGTCTCAAGGCCCAGCATCAGGACTTGGGCATCTTGCTTTTTTCCTGAGGAGTTGGAAAGCCTTATGGTTTTGATCTTAATGCCTGCTTGGAAGAGGCAGGAAGGGCGATGTTACTGTATTGTTGGAAAGTTCCCTGAAAAATTCATCCTACAGATAACACAGTTCACAGATGGTGAGCCATTTAGTAGGTAAGTGTTCCAGACCAGAATTTATGTTCCCCAACTCAAGGATTAATAGAATTTCACCTCTGGCCTGGAGGCAGTAGTGGTGGGAGGATGGGTAGCACACTGAAATTGAGATGAACCTGGAAATGACAGGACGGCTGCCTCTGTATCTTTTAGAGCCTATCTCCAGGGGGTTAAATGCCTTTTTGCTGTTCTATTGGCCCCTGTTTGGGGTTAAGAACTGGGAATGTAAACCGAAGGAAACCTATTTAACTAAATACCGGATCAGAGGAACAGAAGCAGTGACTCGCCACCTCCTAGATATTAACCTTGCTTTTTCAGCCAAAAGCACTTCCCTCTTCTGCAGAGGCCCTCCTGGGGTGCTCAGTTCTGAGTCAAGGTGGCTTTCCTGTGCGCTCCCCTTGCCAGGTGGACAGTCTCATTCTCTAAGACAAGCTCAGGCTCACAAATCCTCACGATAAACAAAGCTTTAGGGGAGAGACATGCCTTTTCACTCCGAAAGCTTCATGAGATCAATCATGTGACTGCTCAAGTAGTCTGTTAGAATCAACACCAAATGGGATTCTTTCTGTATTTATTAATTTTTAAGGGATGGGGTTGCACAGAGTCGGACACGACTGAAGTGACTTAGCAGTAGCAGTAGGAGGACAACAATTGCACTAATCTGAAGGTGGGAGGTATCATTTTTTCAGATGGCCTGACTAGGCATTCCCCATCCTGAAAGGTTATCAAACTAATGCAAAAACATTGTCAGAGTGTGAAGCTGCCCTTTCAGAGGCAGAAGTGGAAGGCTCCTGGCCTCCCAAGGAGAGTCTGCCTAAAATCTCCAGATTCCCAGGACTTGTGATGACCTCAAAGGATGTAGTATAGTCTAAAGACTACAGTGTCTGGCAATTAACAATTTACTTGAAAATCTAGAATGTCTCACTGCTTTAGGTGACATCTAAGGTGACACGGAAAACACAGCTCTTGGGGATGGTGTGGACTCTGTAAGAAGCTCACCCCAGAGCACAGAGACTGACTCTGGGGAACTTTCTCGCCTACGCCAGGTGAAGCGGGTGCCCTGATGGAGCAAGGCTGGGACCACTAAGGTCAAAGGCTGCACAGCCTTGTGGAAATAGGCTCCGACCCATCAGGGCTCGGAAGCAACAACTCCCACCCCAATTGGGCAGTACGCACCGCACAGCCTCAGGACTGACCTCTTTTAGAGTGTTCAAGAACAAGAACCCGAGGAGCCACCTGCATCACTGAATCCCAAACAATCTCCTCTCCCTAGAACTGCATGAGTTGACTGTCCTGCATGTCTCCTAGTTTTTGAAAAGAAGTGGATGTGCCTGTATTTGGGGTCAAGATGAAGCTACACTATCTAACTCTTCTCTCTAAGCAAAAATTTACCCCAATGTGGAGATTTCTCCAGGTTATTTCTTCTAGTTCTTAATCCACTGTTAACTAGGATGGGCTTCGAGAACACTTCGGAAATATTAAAAAATCATACAGTGGTGGCAAAAATTACATTGTGGTTATTAAATCCTTTTTGTAAACTAAACTAAATTAAACAAACAAACAAACAAAATATGGCTCAGGCTAAGCTGTTTAAGAAAAAAAGATCAGGAGGGGAGATGAACAGAGGTGTTAATACAGCACTGGATGGGAATGACAAACATGCTAAATGCAAAACGCACACCCAGGTTCAGCAGAAGACCCCTCTGGCTGAGGAGGTTTAGAAGCAGCCCCCAAAGAGCACTGTACTGGAGAAGAGAAAGGGGAAGAGGAAGCGTGGTTTTGTGGGGAACTTTTCCTTCTAGAATTCAGGGTGACTTCTTCTAAGCGAGTCTGAGAGACTTTACATGGGCTGACTCCTAACATCGAAACAGAAACTATTTCTCTGCCATGAAGCAACTTAACTATGTAGCAACAGGAGTACAAAAAACTGCAAACACTCTCAGAGGGCAGCGACCCCCTCTACTCACCTGAGGCTGCCGGCAGCAAGGGCTTGGGGGCTCCCTTCCCGCAGCTCTCACAATGAAATGCACGGGGCGGAAGCCCTGTGGCCAAGCTACTTCCCAGGCCTGGCCGAGCCTCCAGCAGGTGATACTCCCCCACCTCTGACCCCTCCAGATGGCCTCAGCTCAGACCCCGTAGTGCAGGAGCCCTCTTCACACAGGGCAGGTAGGGCAGCAGACATTTGTAAAAACCGCAGCCAATCCTGCAACTTTTCCATCCTGTGATGTTTGCAGTGAGAAAAATCAAGACTTCTGTTTCATGGGCTGCACTGTCCTAGAGGCTACAAAAAACCCAACGTGGCTGACCCCTGGTAGTCCTCTTTCTCTCTTACACACATACACACACACACACGCACACAGAGTCCTGTTCCAAATGAAAAAAAAAAAAAATGTCATGATCTCACTGATGTTTCCCCAAGGGCTTCAAATTATGAACAAATTTAAATTTTAAAAATTCTATCACTATCTTTCTCCATCCTGAGTATGGTGGACTCCAATGGAAACTCCAGTAGTAACCAGACTCTAAGACATGTCCGTTCACTGTAAGAAAGAGATTTTGTGTCTGCCCTGAACACAGGAAGGAACCTGTTTCTGCCAAGCCTGAAGAAGGTGAGTACTTGCAGAATTAATGGCAAATCAGTGTTGTTGGAACATTCTGCAAGTAAGGTAAACCTGGTGCTTTTCTCTGTTTTCAATTTTCTTTGGGGGAGACAGAAAGGCTCCTGCAACCATGCGTCCAAGTGATCTATCAAGACAGGGCTATAACTACACATCAGGAGACAGCCATGGTGTTGACGGTGCCAGGGAGGGAAAAACACCAAGCCCCTATCATCAGAATCCCAGTGCAACAGACAAAAGCACCAGTTTCAACAATTCTGGTGTTGGACAAAGGCTCCTTTTGTCAGTTGAGGAAGCAGCAGCACAATCTCTCCAGTTAACTGCATTAATGGGATCCATTCATGACTGAAAAATACTTCTTGGCACAGTTCATGTTCCTGACCCAAAGACACCAACAACAATCCAAACTGGATTTTGTAGGGTAGTGTATTATTACACCAGCCCAGTGAAAACTTCAGATCACTAAACGCACAAATTATTATTAATACTAACACGGTAGTTCCTATTTCAGGAGTACTGATTGTTTTCCTGCAAAGCACTTTCTGTATCATAAAGGCAGAACTTATTTGGAAGACTGTGTTTTGGGGATTCCATTTAGTGCTTAGTTGAATTTATTTTACAGTCCCCTTTATTTATTTGGACAGAACCCCAGAATGCTCTAAATGAGGCGATAAGCAGCAGTGTGTTCATTTCAAGTAGAACACGTGGACAGTGAGTTGGCATTTAGACTCAAATCCCATGGTGCTTTCTATCCACTGGGACCCTTCCGTGGGGACAGGATTCCTTTCCCAGAGGTAGAGTGGTGCTAAGGAAACCGCCAGCCCTGCTTTTTGGCTCTGTGTTTTAAGACTGGGAGAGAAGATGCAAACCAAGAATTGACAGTAAATTAAAGTTCAACTGACATTGCCCAAAACGTTGAACATTAAATGACCAGGCCTACCAGATACACACATTTCTCTTAGCGGGAGGGAAGAGCAAAAGTTTTTCAAAGTTTGAGTATTTATTAGACTTTTTAAATAAAGAGAACTACGATTTTAATTTCACATCTCGGCTGTGTTTTGACAAAGGAGATGCCACTAACAGTTTAGCAACAAACTCCTGTCCCAAAGCCAGGGATTGATCAGGGTCCCCCCGCTCCACCCCCAGTCTCTAGACCCTTTTCTGTGCACTTGTCTGCTAAACAGCACAATTGGCAAATGAAGCCAGCATCCAACCAGTATCAAAAACCAACAAGACAGTCTGCAGTGAGCCAATGCATTATGTAGCCGTTCTAGTAAATGATTAAGCATTCTCCTGTACCACTTCTCAGCAGATGATGGACCTTTCACATCCTGGTGGGAGATAAATTTAATATTTCTGAGCATGCTCCATGGTGCAATTACAAGTGCTATAACATTACAAAGACAAGCAAACATCTGAATTTCCCTCCTGTGTACTTCTCAGGAACGTAACATGGCTGCCCAGAACGGGACAGGACTGCGCAGCCGCAGCTGCCAAGCACAGCTGGGTGCTTCGGGGTGTAGGACAAGGCCCAGCTCCGCGCTGTAAGGCATGGACGCACAGGGAGAGGCCGCTGTCGGCGGTAAGTAGCATTATGGAAAAAACTCCAAACCAGCAGGAGAGAAACAGTGCTCGACGCTCCAGTTTTTTTGATAGTAATCCCAAGAATCCAGTTCAAATCCCTATTGTCGACACGGAGGGAGGAATTCAATTTCTAGCATTGTTTCTCCGGGTCTGAGCTGAGGCCATTTGCTCCTGGCTTGGTAATAAAAAAGAAAATGGGTTTCTTCCTGTTTCTTTCTTGGCGTGGAAACACAGCTTTGAGAAGAGAAGGCATGAGTCCTGGGAGCACTATGAAGTAGCTAAACCCTTCCCAGATGGTACACCGGCGACTGGGGAAAGGAGAGGGAGGGGACACTCACCTAGCCACTAGCATCAAAAATGAAAAAGCAAATGAATTGTGAGGCTCTCCACTTCAGAAACACCCCAAATTTGAAAAACAAAACCTTGAAAAGTTAAAACAAATGCCTCTTCTAAAAGTCATTTATTTACATATTATATGTCCAGTATATAATGTGTAGATAAATGCATCCTGCAGTGAAAGTGACCAACCTACTGGACTGAACAGCACGTCATGGGACAAATTCTTGAAAGGTTTCATCTCATATTGGATATATTTTAATTAAAAAAAAAAAAAAAATCTGGCCAGGGCTGGGATGAGACAAACAGGAACACTTCAGAATCCAAGGCAGAGGGAAGGCTGTTTGCCTCTTTAGAGAGTTGTAGGGGTGTGAAAAGGGAGAGACAGATCATGCACAAAAGTACTAACAAATTACATACCCAACCCCCACCCCCTCAATAAAAAGAGAAGAAAAAGCCCCATCACTTAACACCAAACAGCAACATTATCAATAAACCCTTTCTCTGCTGCCCGTCACGCCTTATTTGAAAGAGGAGGCCTGTGAGGAGAGGTGAAAGAGCAAGGGTGAGAGGGAAGACCTGCACTTCAGTCTCCTTTCCATTTTCACTTCTCTTACAGGAATCTTCAGTCATCTGATGCCCTGCATCGAGCTCTGAGCAGACACTGAGTATGTAGGGGCCACGAGCGGGGTGCCGTTGTTGGCTGAGTAGCCTTGCCTCAACGTTTCAAAATACGACGCCTGCACCGGTTTGTGACACTGCAGCACTTTTATGGCATCTTCTATTTTAAACCATTCCCGCTTCCTTCCTGTGGAGGCAGAGAGTAAAACAAATTAGTACAAAAGGGAAGCAGCAGCAGGTTTCTGATCCTGTAACTTTTGAGAAAACGCAGGAAAACAACCCACAGGAACTACTGTCGTTAATGTCTTTCTTTTCTTTTTAAAAAGTTATTTATTTATTTATTTATTTATGGTTACACTGGGTCTCGCTGCGTAAGGGCTGTCTCTAGGTGCAGACAGTGGGGGCAATACTCTACTGCAGTGCGCGGGCTTCTCGTTGTGGCCAGTTCTCTTGCTGCAGGAGCTCTCGGGTGTGCATGCTTCAGCAGTTGTGCCGCATGGGCTGAGCTGTTCCAAGGTATGTGGAATCTTCCTGGACCAGGGATCAAACTCGTGTTGCCTGCACTGGCAGGCAGATTCCTAACTGCTAGACCACCAGCAAAGTCCTTCTTTCCTTTTTTAAACAGAAGTGTAAATGACCCACAGCACGGCAGAGGAGTCCCAGGCACACTGCACAGTGATTTGATGTTTCTGTTGTTGCTGTTCAGGTGCTAAGTCGTGCACAACTCTTTGTGGCCCCATGAACTGCAGCATGCCAGGCTTCTCTGTATTTCACTACTTCCTGGAGCTCGCTCAAACTCATGCCCATTAAGTTGGTGACACCATCGAACCATATCTCATCCTGTTGCTCCCTTCTCCTCGTGCCTTCGATCTTTCCCAGCAGCAGGGTCATTTCCAATGAGTTAGCTCTTCTCATCAGGTGACCTCCATCATAGCTCAGTAGGTTAAGAATCTGCCTGCAATGCAGGAGACCCGGGATTGATTCCTAGGTTGGGAAGATCCCCTGGAGAAGGAAATGGCAACCCACTCCAGTGTTCTTGCTTGGAGAATCCCAGAGACAGGGGAGACTGGTGGGCTGCCGTCTATGGGGTTGCACAGAATCAGACACAACTGAAGTGACTTGGCAGCAGCTCTTCTCATCAGGTGACCTCCATCACAGCTCAGTCAGTAAAGAAGCTACCTGCAATGTAGGAGACCAGGGATTGACTCCTGGGTCAGGAAGATCCCCTGGAGAAGGAAATGGCAATCCACTCCAGTATTCTTGCCTGGAAAATCCCACGGACAGAGGAGCCTGGCGGGTTACAGTCCACGGGGTCACAAGAGTTGGACACGACTTAGCAACTAACCACCACCAACCACCACCACCACCATCAGGTGGCCGAAGTATTGGAGCTTCAGCTTCAACTTCAGTCCTATCCATGAGTATTTAGTGTTCATTTTATCATTGACTGATATTTCTACACAGGACAAAATAGCCACGATAGTTATCAACATTTAATAAATATATTTTTCTTATTTTTCTTTTCTAACAAGGGTGATGGAAGCACACTTTGTATGTGTCAAATACTATACAAATGCCTAATACAGAAAATAGGTAAGAAATCTGAAAACTGAAGAACTGAGAGTAACGGTGTGAAACTTGTACTCTAGAAAGAACCACTGCTAGCTGTTTCTTCTCCAGCTCCTGGGCCTCTGACCTTCCGTGGCTGACACATACGTGCCTGAAGCCCAGCCAGCATTCCCATCTCCTGCAAATATAGACATGAAGCTGATGCAGCTTCCAGAATTACTGGGATGGCTGACCTGTAACCAGGTATTTATTTTAAAAATCCCATCTAATAGTGATACATCTGGGGTTTCTGTGATCGTCTACTGGTTAAGAATCCACCTTGCAATGCAAGGGACACAAGTGTGATCCCTGATAGGGGAACTAAGATCCCAGTTGCCAAGGAGCAACTGAGCCCAAGCACCACAACCAGAGCACCTGGGTGCCACAAGAAAGATCCCAAGTGATGCAACTAAGACCCGACACAGCCAAGTAGAAATAACTAATAGAAAAAAGAAAAAAAGATGCTGAAAGGGTAGTTGGGAAAAAAAAGGGGGGGGGTGGACTTTCCTGTTAGTACAGAGGGTAAGAATTGCCTCCCAACGAGGGGAACACAGGTTTGATACCTGGTCCAGGAAGATTCCATATGCTGCAAAGCAACTAAGCCTGTGGGCCACGACTACTGAGCCCGAGTGTGTGCTGCAACCAGTGGAGCCTGAGTGTCTGAAGCCTATGCTCACAACAAGAGAAGACACCACAGTGAGATGCCCAAGCACAGCAACGAAGAGGAGTCCCCGCTCGCTGCAACCGGAAAAAGCCTGGGCACAGCAGCGAAGACCCAGAGTGGCCAAAAATAAATAAAAAGAGCGATGTATCTACAGTAAAGAAAATATTTTCTTAAAAAGAGGAAAATATAATCTCAACACAGTCACTATTAACTTTTCAGTGTATTTCAAAAATTTTTTCAAATGCATGTTTTAAAATCCTTTATTATTTTTTCTCTGACAAAGCTAACAAAAGATCACTGGTTAAAACTGGGAAAAACAGAAGCAAGCATAAAGAACAAGATAATTACCTGTAATCTTACAAACTAGAAGTAACTACTCTTAATACCTTAGTGCATTTGCTTATCTTTCACCTTATTTGAAAAAGACACAGCTATCTCAACAATTATAATTGGGATCATGCTTTAAGGTGCTCCAAATTCCTCGGAGGGCCTGACAGAGTGCTGCTGTTGGGAACATGGACACTGATGCTAATCTGCTGGGCTCCAGTCATGTCAAAGGCTCTAATAAGCTACGCAGGCTTGGGCAAATTACTGAACCTCTCTGTGCCCCTCTTTCCTCCTCTATAAAACAGACATAGTAAACAGGACTTATCTCATAAGTCTGTTGTGAGGGTAACACGTGAAGCATTTGAACAACGCCTGGCACAGAGTACACGCTGCAAGACAGTGCGTTGTTGTTGTTGTGGCAGCTGCTTTTCCACTTCACTGCTGCTTAAGCATCCTTAGTAGGACACATTGTGGTTGTGTTACACTGTCTAGCATGGATGTAACGTTATTCACTTAACGATTTCTCTGCCACTGGACATCAATAGCTTGCTATTTTTATTATTATAAAGAATGCTACATGAGACAAGTGCTCGGGCCTGGTGCACTGGGAAGACCCAGAGGAATGGTGGACAGGGAGGTGGGAGGGGGGATCGGGATGGGGAATACATGGGAACTCCATGGCTGATTCATGTCAATGTATGACAAAACCCACTGAAATGTTGTGAAGTAATTAGCCTCCAACTAATAAAAATAAATGAAAAGAAAAAAAAAGAATGCTACAATTTTAAAAATCTGAACCTTATATGGCTAGTGACATGCACTGCCAAACAGCCTTCCTGAAAGGATGTGCTGACCCCCAATCCTGCTTCTGTGCTGGAATGTCAGTTTCACCACACTCCTGCCAGCACTGTTAACTGTTGTTTGTCACTGCCGATTCTTTAGGTGAAAACCAGTACCTCATCTTTGTTTTCATTTCAAATTCCTGTTTTGATGTAGTCTTAATTAGTATACACATAATTCTATACCCTGTTTTCATTCACCTACTCAATCTCATAAGCACTTCTCCGTGGTACACAGCTTTCTTAAGTATGTGTTTAACACCTGCCTAACGTTCCATCAGATGAATGGACCTTGGATCACTTGTCATTCACTGACCTGTGTATTTTAAGACCCAATTTTTCACCTGAAGATGGCTTATGTGAAGAAAGCTAACAGGCTTATTCCCTGTTAGCTACCTAAAACATATCTTAGATAGTTTCATCAGGGCCAAGTCTCAGCAGCAGGAGCACGGGGGACGGGCTTGTCTGGGTGCTAGCAGAGCAGTGGCACCTTAAAACCAGCATCGCGAGTGTGCCACTCTGACCCAGCGGAGCAGTCTGAGGACGGGGCCTGCCCCACCACGCTCACCTCTGGCCTCAGCACCAGCTATCGAGGGGTCTATTTTTAATACCCCCTCACCAAATTTATACTTAAGCTTACTGCACTCTTATCAAACACAAAGCAACTAAAAACTGAAAGGCCGTGAAATGTCCAGATCAATAGTGCTGAGAGGCACGATGGCAAAGCACATACTAACAATCGAGAGGTTCTGATAAGTAAATTCTATTTGCCAAATTTATAACAGAAATTAAATTAATTTTATGTTTTTCTATGCTTTTCCTTCAGAGCGCAAAGATTAAAACCATGAACCAATCATTAAATCATCTCACTTTTTAGGTCAAAAGATATATATACACACAACTGATCTGGGATCACTGAAAATGGCTCCTTAGGAGAAAAGGCGAGTTTACCTCAAGGGTAACATGAATGTAACCAGCAGTTTCCAGTCACTCCCACCACTCTGCACCTACTACATAGCTCTGGAGGGAGGGCTCACCCCACTGAAGTCACAGTTTCCTCCAACAATATGAACAGCTGCAGTCCTGCTGGGGGTCAGTGGCCCAGCAGCAGGCCTAGCAATGTAGAGGCCACGATTAATATCTGCTGGGAGGATCCAATTTGGTTTTAGAAAAATCCAATTCTGGTTTTATTTTTATGGGCCTTGTCTCTAATTGTTGACTATGCATCCGACTTCAGTTTCCTTCTAAACATTTTAAAAATATTATAGTACTTTTCACAAGTTCAAAAACAGACATGCTTATTTAAACACATCCTGCTGTTATTTCTTTTCTTTATCGGGCTCTCGTCTGTGGTTCTGGGTAAAGAGCTGCAGTGTGGCCAAGGCTGGTCGTGAGAGCTCTTGAGAGGCCATCTGGGGACAACTTACCAATGCTGACTGAGTCTTCCCAGTCTTCTAGCACTTCTGTGACAATGAGCACATAGACATACGTTCTATGCTTCCTCTCCTGGTTCTGAAGGGCAAAAAGAGAGGGACAGAGAGTTTTTCCTTAGAGAGCTGAGATTACATAAATGAAACAGACTCTACTGCATATGTCCAGAGAGCTCAGATCCAAGGACTCCTTTTACTTTTGCCGTCCGACAATCAGATATGGAATAGCGCCAGCTGGCCTACTTAAAACATGCCACACTTGAATCAGAGGGTGAGCTCTTTGGCTGGGCTTCCAAAGCCAAGGCTTTACCCTGGTTTTTCCTTCTTCTTCCCTAAAGAGCAACTTCTCAAAAATACTGAGAAAAGGATTGGGGACCTCTTGAGATAAAGATATGAAGCACATTTAACTAGCTAGCACAGCAGAAAAATAAGAGACTGTGATGGGTGGAGGGCCCATTCACGCAAGCAAGCGGATTATCTCACATGGCCCCTCCTCCTATCAGCCCTGCTCATCTTTACCCCCTGATTTCCGACTTTCTCCAAATCCCTACTCCAGTGTAAGTGCTTGTCAGTCTCTTCTGCAGCTGCTCATCTCCTATTTCTCCTGTCTCCTCCTCACTTATCCACCCCTTCTCACATCTTGGGAGGAGAGGGAGAGAGGTAGAGATGGGGAAAACAATTCTTACAAATAATTCTAGCTGTACGGAAGAGATTAATGGGATTTTAAAAAAGAAAGCACAGTATTCTCTCCTGGTGCTGCACTGTTTTGAAAACTTGGCGAAACAAAGATGGCATCTTTCCCAGGTGAAGACTGTAATGGGGACTTCTGTGGTGGTCCAGTGGTTAAGACTCTGAATTCCCAGTGCAGGGGGTACAGGCCTGATCCCTGATCAGGGAACTAAGATCCCACATGGCCAAAAAAAAAAAAAGGGACAGCAATGGACAGTGTTTATGTCCCCGCTAACCCCTCCCCAATTTCATGTTGAAATCCTAACCCCCAAGGTAATGGTATCAGAAAGTGGGGACAGAGGGAGGTGACTGGGTTATGACAGATGACCCTCATGAATGGAATTAGTGTTCTTATAAAAGAGACCCTAGAGATGTTTGTTCCCTTCTCTGCCATGCAAAAACATAGAGAAACAGCTTTCTATGAACCAGGAAGGGAGTCCTCACCAGACACTGAACCTGCTCCCACCTTTATCTTGGACTTCCTAGGAATCAATTTCTATTGTTTATAAACAACCCAATTTCTGGTATCTCTGTTACAGAAGTCTGAATGGTCTAAGGCCAAGATATATGTGGTTATTAATATAATACCAATTGCACCAAAGATTTTAACAGACTTACCTCAAAAACTCCAACTAATCTTCCCAATGTCCCTTTTACTCCAGCCTGAAAAAGAAAAAAGAAAAATTTGTGCATTGACATTGCTTACAGTGCTGGTCTCATTCTGAATCTTCTAGAGTAATCTATAAAACAGAAGTAAATTGTACAACAGAAGTAAAAAGCAAGAGGACACAGCTCAGGTGGACTCCAGGTCTGTGGGAGTCCTAACAGTGTGTTCTCTGGTAACAGACTGGAAAGACCAGGGTATGCTCTGGGGAGAAAGCCCTCCTCTCCTCTCCAGGTCTCTCACCACTGCACAACTGGCCAAACAGAGCACAACGATCAAGGCCACAGCCATACCAAAGATAGTTTGAGGTGGGAAGTACTTCGGTCATTTACCCATTCATTCACCAATATAAATGGAATGCCTAATCTGAGCCAAACAGTGCTGCAGATGCCAGAGGTACAGTGATGAATAGGCTAGAACTCAAGCTGCATGAGAATAAGACCCTTATCTGACTTGTTCTTGGCTGTCTGTACACTGTATGTCCAGAAAAGAGCTCAGCGCCCAGCAGGACCACAGCAGAGAGGTGAGTCAACAAAACACAGTCCTGGTAATTCTGCTAAATCACCAGTTCTATGACAGGAATGCACAAAGCATGTGATAGAGAATGATGGGGAGAGGGCAACTTTACACAGTGATCAGGCTTCTGTAGTAAATACAATGTTTATCCCATCAGTCTTTTGGTATTTTTATTTTAAGATCTGTGTTTTTCTGATGCATTATAGGTGAACTTTTCGATACATTCCAATTTACTAATTTACTTTTCAACCATATCCTGGATAAAGTTATCCATTTCTAGTCCATTTTTTATTTGATATTTTTCATATTTATGTACATCTACCTGTTTCCATTATGGATACCTTTGTTTCCATGATTTTTTTTTGTTCTTTTAAAATAGAAGTTATTGCTTTATTTTTTTGAGCATCCTGAACATATTTAAGTTCTTTATCAGGTCATGCTACAACATTCATTTCATCTGAAGTTAATAAATAATTCATGTTCCAACTGGTGAAGGGCTTATTTGTGATGTTGCTGTCAGAGGTTCTCCAGAGTGACAGTGTAGGGCTCCTACTCCAAGGGAATATAGGAAGCGCTGCAGAGACAGCCCCACCCTTCACCGTGTGCTGGGGCTGTGTCCTCTCCCTGGCTGGGCCCATACCTGGCTAAGTCTCAGCTCCCGGTGGCCTGGTCAGGTCAGGCACCTGACCTCCCCTTTACTCCAAGGGCGTCAACCACCAGCCAACCAAGGCCATGCAGGCTGCAGCTTTCCTCTTCTCTTCTGCAATTCTGCTCTGTTTCTGATCTATAGAGGCATCCACTTTGCTTCTGGGTCAGGCTATGTCTTTTTAGTTTTTGGAAATGCATGGGGGATGCAGGAACTTGTTTTTTTTACTACAACTGCCATGTTATTCTGTACATTAAAAAAAATAAGGCAAACATACTTTCTAAAGACAGCAGGTGCTCAGTATATTTGTACAGAATGAACAAAAATTTTGAATACGTTCTCCAAAAGTTCTTTAGAGATATTAAATAATAGAAACAACAGAAGCCAATTCAAAGGCCTAGATTCCTGGGTGAGCTATATTTTTAAATTAATTTTTGGTAATTATCTATCAACGAATTATTTTCCTTTCTCTTGCCAACATGCTTGTTTCTTTCTCCATTATTTCCCCATGTGGCTTTTGGTCTACTTGAATGCAAATGTGTACATTTTCTTATTTAAACTGCTTTTCTACATTTTCAGAAATAATTGCACTCCACAGCCAGCTAAGACTAGCTAGGCTGGACTGCATGAATTAACCAGTGAAGCTGCCTGGACAAGTGGGACGAACGGGTAGGCCATGCTCATCTGGAAAGCCAGCGCTGGTCTTTGGTCCGAGGCCACCTGAACGCACTTAGATCAGCTCCTGAGAGGAGTCACCTGTCACCTGCCACAGGCCTCCCTTAACAGGGCCCAGGAGCAGAGCTGCCAGGCCACACGGGAGGCAGGCCCAACGCAGGCTGGGAGAGGGGGCAGCTCAAGCTAGAGGTTCACAGAACATCATGCACATTTCTCTTCTGCAAAGTGGAAAAGAGGTCTCTTCAGCAGTTACTGTTCAATTACTTATTCTTCTTAACGAAAACAAAGTACAGAAAAGGAAATACTCTCCAAATTTTAAGGGCATAAATCATCTTAATATTATGACAATACATATAGTTTATTTAAAACTTTTAATTATAGTAATTTCTGCATTCAACACCAACATGTTTCTATGATTTACTCTGTGTTAGAGGCAGTTAGGAAAAAATATAAAAGCATTTTTTTTCTTAATGAAATAGATGCATTTTTATAGTCTAATGCAAATCAAATAATGCTGTCATCTGTACAGTGAAATTCCGTGGCATATATTTTCACTTCTAATTAGTCTAATTAACTACTTCAAATCAACAATAGTTTTATTTGTTCCTTAAATGTTTCTTTCAAGTTTTATTCTGATACTCAGGAGATCTACTTGGGGGAATTCTATCTAAGGTGATTCAACCTTATCTACAGTATTATCTACATTAAAAGCAAAGAAATGTTTCTATATCAGTTTTTAAAATCTGGCTTTAGCAGTTTTCTCAAGAGGAGGCTCTTCTTTTCTAAGAATAGGATTTTGGTTCTTTAAAACCACAGTGCTAAGAAAAGGAAGATTCCTCAGAGGCAAAGGTTCTTCGAGACAGCATTTACTGTAACCATTTTACTTTTTCAACAACCTTCCACAGTCCCACTTTCATATCCTAGCTCTCTCAAATGCTGCCACAAGCAACTGGACAGAGATATTTTTATCTCTCACATGATTCTTGCACGCAGGTCAGGATAGGTGTCAGGATCACATCTGACAGATATTTGGCTCAGACATTTGGGGCTAAGACTTGATTCAGGGTATACGTAAGCTTGGTCCAGTCACAGTGCTGGTATAGCCTGTTCTTCTCATAATCATATGAAAGCAGTTACTATTTCAATCAGTACTGTCAAAAGCCCCTAATCCAGAGAAGTCTTTATTTAAAAGTCCGTCTTAGCCAGTAGTAAGAATTTCAAATAAAGGAACCTCTGCCCTTCATTATTCAACCACATGCAGGTGAGTGGTCTCTTGAACTTCAAAGTATACAATATCAATTCTAACACTTTTGAGGTCTAGTTAACATAAATTAATTGAGCAACTGTCTACTTTTTAAGAAGGAAAAAATGCAAATGTATTTTTTCCTTTGGCAGTGTGTTACTGGGATTGGAAGTACTTACTGGAAAGGGCTGGAATGACAAGGGACACTCCAGTGTCTTGTCCTTCCCTCGGTCTCCAGGGGGTGTACTTGAGGCCCAGGCAGAGGAACGGATATATTGGGCCTCTGAAGCGTACATTCTGCATGTGCACACTCAGTCGTGACTGACTCTTTGTGATCCCCTGGACTGCAGCCCTCCAGGCTCCTCCATCCATGGGAATCTCCAGGCAAGAATACTGGAGTGGGTTGCCATTTCCTCCTCCAGGGGATTTTCCCAACCCAGGGATCAAACTGGCATCTTCTATGTCTCCTGCGTTGCAGGTGGATTCTTTACCACAGAGCCATTGGGAAGTTCCCCTCGATGGGCCTTTGAACCTCCCCTAAAATGGTGGCCCATCACAAAGATCCCTGGCTTTGTGCTTAGTTTGGATGGGCATAAAGTGTACCATCACCTTCTGAAACCAATTTTTCACACTCAGGTGGACACTGTGGCAGACAGATGGCTATCTAGCCCACAAGCATTCTCCCTTCCTCCCTGCTGCCAGTAAGACCCAGATTCTGTTCAGGTGAGAACTTTGGCACACCTGAACCACAAAGGGAGGTCTGCCGCCCTCTGCAGTGACAGGTTTAGGGGTACTGTGTGTGACCCAATTCCAGGTCAATGGTTCCTGAGAGGAATGGTTCTCAGAGGCATCTCGGAAAGATTCCCCATCATGATAAGAAGAGCTGTACAAAAAGAAATCCTATACCTCCCTGTTTGTCAGGAGGGGATCTGAAACTTGGAGCCGCAACTGTCATCTTGTGATTCTAAGGGAAAAGGACTAGAAAATCAATGAGAAGTGAACCGAAGTCCTGATCCCCCAGCTTCCGGAGCAACAGGGTAATGGCCAACCCCTAGACCTCTTACGTCAGGAAAATAACTGTTGCTCTTAAAGCCACTTTTAGTCAGGTGTGCTGGAACCTGTATCCGAAAGCTTTCTGCTACTCTCCTTGATTTCAAAGGCAGTTCTCTGAGGAAAACTGCGTATTTCCAAAGAAAACTTCTGAACTCTCAGGGAGCTGTAGCATAAAATCTTTCTCTATCAAAAGCAATAAGCCCAGGCCTAAAAGGAGTTCAGGGCAACAACTCTAATGCAAATGTCTGCATGAGGAAACCTATGAAAAAAATATATGGTCTTCAATACATATAACTTTCTGGTATCCACCAGACTTAGCAAGTACAGAAGAAAAGAAACACAGTGAAGACAGATGAAGAAGATGAGAAGCCAGTATAAGTCCAGTGATATTTCAACCCATTTTTTAATTGTGCTTTTTAAATGAAATACTTCAAATATCAAAAAGTAAAGAAAATAATGAAACAAACATTCAGGTAGTTGTACCTTTATTCTTCTACATAAATTTTAAAAACCAGTTTCTCAGATCTTTTGAAAAATTCTTGGGGGATATTTATTTTTATTTTTGGATTAATTTGAGAAAAACACATCTTTACAATATTTAGTTTCTTCATTCAAGAATAGACTATCTCTATCCATTTATTCATGTCTTTTAAAATCCTTTAATGAAGATTTATTATTTTTATTGTAAAGATCCTGTACTCTGTTAGCAAGGTATTTCAGCTTTAGTATAGTTCTGTTGCTATCGTGAATAATACATATCTTTACAAGTTATATATTTTCCAGTTGATTACCACTTGTTTAAAGAAACACTGCTGGTTTCTGCATATTGATCTTTGGTCTTGAAACTTTTTTGGGGGGGTTCTACC